AGCCTCGACACCTTGCATAGCAGCATCAGGCTGCTCGGCTGGCGCATTGCCAGCGGCCGCACCACTGCCATCATCATCACTCGAGCTGCTGCTGCTTGTGCTGCTGCCTGCGCTTCCATCTGGGCCATTGCTTTTGTGCTCTGAAGCAGGGAGGCTTGGCGAGTAGTTCAAGCTGGTCTCAGGATCCGAAGCAGCTTCATCACCGGGCCCTGCAAGCAAAGGGCTCACAGGCCCAAGCACACCAACTTCATCAGCCGTTGGTTCCGCAACAGCTTCAACAGGTTTGGCCTCACGCTGCTTGCGCATCTTGCCAAGTCCACCTGCAACAAATCCCGGGTGGTCCCAAGGAAAATCCTTGATGCAGTCATGCAAGCTGGGATCCCATCGCTCGGGCGTTCGGCGGATGGAACGTGTGATGAGAAGTTTCCCACCTGCTGTGACAACCAGGTGGCCATCACTCGCATTGGCCTTGCCCAACCACAGCGAGCGGACCCATTTGGCGGATCCTTTCACAGGCTTGTTGGTCATCGCTGTGCGGCACATAGCCATCACACACTCACCGAACTCGACAAGCTTGCCTGTATAAGGCGACTGGAAAGTGCATTCAAACGGGGTCTGCTGATCTCGAGCAACGACATACCTGTTCAGCAACCACGACCCATGGCGAGCAGCCCACGCGTGAAGTGGGTGCAAACTGCCTACTTGCTTGCCGGTGTTGTGCTCGTAAGCACTCAACAGCACACATGCTTGCTGTCTGGTGGATTCCACTGCTTCTTCCGCGGCACCGTTCGAGGCCTTTTCCTCTTCACCTGACTGCTCCAGCCTCGTCCTTTGACCCAGGCGACCTCGGGCCTTCTGAACCTCCTGCTGGAGGGTCTTGCAACTGGGCTCAGGGTCGCAACGTATGGTCACATCATTGTATCCCAGCACATTGCACAGTCTGACGATCTCGCTGGTGAGAAATTTGGTGCTTTCCGGACCGCCTTTGCGCTTGGTGGGAATGGCCTCTCTCCAACCTGTTGCACGGTCCTTCACGCACAGGGTAATAAGCTTGTTCTCAGGATCAAGCTCGCGACCCGTGAACCCAAAGTCGAAGGAGAGAACCGAAACGGCCCGCTTAGGTTCAACGGTGGCGCTGGCACGATCACTTCGCGCCTTGTGCATCACGCAGTGTTCGCACCACTCACGGTACGGGGCGTGCGTCAGATTGTGTTGCAACCGCTCATGCAGCGTTGGCTCCTTCACAAGCGGAACCTCACGAGGCTCACGGCTCTCGCCTTGTGCACGCTCCTGTTTCTGGCGCACACCTTCTGCAAGTTCAAGACGCTTCAAGTGATCGCACAACCTTTTGTACACCTTGGCTTTGCCACCTGAACGGCCTATATTCAGATACTCGCAGGCTTTGCGCATGACACTCAACGCCGAGTCGCCGGTCACTCTGACACCATTCACTTCAATGAAATCACCGGTCATTTCATCATCTCGGGTTGCAGCCTCCAAAGCTGCTTGCTGGGCCGCGGGCACATTTGCACCATCATGATGCTGCTTCTCACCCTCAACATCACTTGCAAACAAAGCTTCAAGATCAGGGGTGCCCGGAACAGTAGACTCAAAAGGAGGAGGAGAACCGATGCCTCCAACCTCCTGTGCAACACCTGCAGGCTCACCTTCGCCTTCATGCATTGGCACATCTGTAGCACCATCTGGCGCCTCTGGCACGTCACCTTGCATCACGATCCCAAGCTGCTCTGCTGTCAAAGCTTCTCTGGAGGCAATGGTTAACACCGTGCGCTCTACCCCATCGGCAAATTGCTCATCAAGCACATCCAAAGTTGTGACATCGCGGCACAGCTCCCAAAGCTCCCAAATGCGCATTACAGGATCAACGCAAATCAAAGTGGTGCGGTACTGCATACCTTCCATCGGCAAATACAAGCTCACATCAAGGTAGGCATCGGACTCGCATTTAAGCCCTTGCACTCCTGGGATCAGCTCCTCAAAGAACTCGTTGCCCTTGTTAACCATACTTTCAAGAACAGGGTTCAAGCTGACAGCACGAACGAAGCCATCACATGGCTTGCTGGTCACAGTCCTGATGCTTCCATCCACAACAAGGCTGTTATGCCTAAACCGCACGGGCACCTTCCGAGAACCCTTGGACAGCACCAGCTCATTGTTCTCATGTTGCACACTCCATCCAGCCTTGTACAACTTTCCGCATGCAAGCAGGGGTGACGTCACATCAGTCACCAAGAAGCGCTCACGAAAGGTGACGCCATTTTCAAGGATGACCTGAGCATAGCGCCATCCGTAAGCCCGCAACGGGTTTCCTTGGGCATCCGAAAAGTTTGCCCTCTGATTTGTGCTTGCCTTGCAACCTACACCTGCATATGCATACGGCAGACACGACTCGTCGGCTCCAGAGTCGAGCACCACTTCTGTGACCTCCTCAACCACGGGCAACGGCTCAGTCTCAGGACGAAACCCAGCTACCCTGATGACACCTCTCACTGGGGCTGCTATGGCCTCACAGGACATGTCACTTGCACACTCATCTGAGCAACGGGTCCACTGTGCATCATCATCAGTACACGACATGTCGTACCAACTTGCACTTGCTGCACTGGCTGGCGCCTGACCTGACCTGGGACCTGTGCATGACGCCATGTTGCACACCTCCTGGCCTGTGACCTCGACGGAACCTGATTGCACCTGCGTGGGACCTGATTGCACCTGCACTGGACCTGATTGCACCTGCACTGGACCTGATTGCACCTGCGTGGGACCTGATTGCACCTGCATGGAACCTGATTGCACCTGCATGGAACCTGATTGCACTTGCGTGGCACCTGATTGCACTTGCGCGAAACTTGATTGCACCTGCACACCTACGCAAAGCTGAACAGCCCTGACATAAGAGCTGCTTCCCACTGAAAACACACTCAAATCAATCTCATCATCACTCTCGAAAACGGTCTGCACTGCTTCAACGCGATTCACCTGGCGGGCTCCGACCGTGGGGGCTCGAGTGCTCGCAGTAGCTTGCGAAACCGTGGACGCAGCAGAAGACGGGATGGCCTGGCTCGGCACTTCTTCGGCCACCTGTTGCACACGCCCCTGCTGTGGAGGGAACCAGCACTCATTCTTCCAATGCCCTCTTCGCCCACAGTTCCCACACACATCTGGATCAAGCCTGCCCTTTCCTCCACCTTTGCCCTTGCCTTTGCCGCCTTTTGCGTCTTTGCCCTTGGATCCCTTCGCGTTGCCCTTCCAATCCTGGGCACTCCATGCTTTGCCCTTGCCTCCTCCTTTGCCTTTGCCTTTGTTAGCCTTGCCACCTTTGCCATCCTTGCCTTTGCCCTTTCCACCTCCTTTGCCTTTTCCTTTCTGAAGACGATCTATCTCCATTGGGGTGGCATCATCATGATTGTGCTTGGTTCCCAGAAGTATGCTATCTTGCGCAAACACATTGCCAACACCCCACTTGAACTGCACACGCTCATACCGCAGCACTGCTTCTCTCAGCACACTATAGGAGGCATCCTCAGGCAGTGACGCGCAGATGTGTTGGCGCATCACTCCTGACAAAGAACGCAAAAGCAAGGCGCTCTTGAGGCTTGGTTGCACATCTTCGCCACTGGCAAGGGAATACTGTTCAAAAGCTCGTTCCAACTCCAAGATTTGCGGCAAGTATGGCTCTCTAGGATTGAACCCTTTGATCTGGGTCAACGCACTAAGGATTCCAAGCGACCGAACTTTGCTAGGCGGTTGAAACTGCAACAACAGCATTCTCAAAGCTTCATAGCCCTGCTGGTGGTTGATCTGTTTCACAGTTTGGAAGGCCCTTCCTTTGATCAAGGTACTCAAGAGAGCATACAGCTGAAAGCTCCGGGCTTGCTGCTCTGCACTGACAATCAAGACTGGGTTGTTCAAGGATCGCTCCACTTCAGAAATTTCCGCATCGAAATTTTGATCTACTGCCACCAAGAACTGTCTAAACACCCAGTACCAACTATGCCAGCGGCTGTGCTCATCTTCGGCCTTGTCAACCTTAAAGGGTTCGGGCTTAGGGAGGATTTTCAGCAAGTCACGGCCCTCAAGTCCAGCTTTGGCACCTGCCGCACTCTGTGCATTGTGCATCGACTGCACAGCTGTAGCAGCAATCGAAGCAGCATTCGTTGACGCTTCCACCATGGATGCCATGCGATTTAGCATTGCTTCAAGTGCCATACCCATATTGCTAGGGCTTGCTGCAGGACTAAAGGGATTCTGCTGGGCTGCTTGCAACTCGGGCCCATCCTCATCAATCTCTGGCATCGGGATTGCGGCTGCCTGTGCTTGCGCTTGTGCTAGCGCCTGTGCAGCAGCTTGTGCATTCTGATCCATGGCACTACTGCCGGTCGGCCCCGACGTCTGCAGCTACCCGCCGCGCTTATTTCACCGAACTGTCCACAAGAAAATCCTGGATCCCTTTTCCCTTTGGACAATGGCACACAGTTGGTCCTTAAAGGGCTCTCTCACCAAAAGAACCCGAGAACCTAACCGTGACGTGTCAAAGTCCCTCTCACTACCACTACTCTGGGGTCTGGGTCCTGCCCCGAGCAGCGGTTCGCCAAACACACGGGAGTGGCTTACCAGCTGCTCCGCTACCATGCTAAACTTTTCCTGTGGTTCACACGCCTGCGGAGTCACTCAGTCAGTATTGGGCTCTAAACTACAGTGGAGCAAAACAAAACATACAGCATGCAAATTAGTTCAGTACGGCAGCATACAAATGTGGTACACGTGTGGGTACAAACTTTAGCACAGAAGCAGTCTCGAGAGTTGCTTCTAAAGTGCGTGGCTTTCCGCCACTTCCTCTTTGGAGCATGGGTTTGTCACCCATTACTCGGGAGCAGTCTCAAGAGTTGCTGCTGATTTGTGTGGCTTTTCGCCACTTCCTCTTCGGAGCCATCGCATCGTTCACGAAGCTTGGGCTCTAGGACTGTGTAGTATCAGCCATGTCCCTGCTGAAATCTGAGGCGGCATTTGAAGAACTTGCCACGGAATGTGGTCTTTCAAGTGCTCAGCTGCTGATCCTGAAAGGGAAAGGTGTCTCGACAATGTCGTCATTGGCCTATGCTGTCACCACCCCGGGTGTGCAACCTACGGAGCTTGCCCTTCGTCAGCTTTTGGATACTGCCACTCCTGAAGCTGTTTCAGTTGGCGCCTTATCATCCATTAGGCGGTGTGTGTTTGAGTGCCAGACTTGTGTTGTGCAGCAACTCAAGCTCTCAGTTGAAGGGCATGAGGGAGACAAGAAATACGACCTCCCACCTGCTGAACGCACCAGCCGCATTGCGGCTCAAAAGACCAGGCTTGTCGGTTTTGAGTTAACCGGCGCGATGGAGTGCGCATATTCCTGCTACACTCTTGTGGGCTCCATGCTTGAAGCCGACTCGCCAATTTATTTGGAGCCCCATAGGTTCATCACCAGGCAACAGGAGGTTTGCAGAGAAAAACCCAAGCGTGAGATCGTGCTCGATGGGGGCACCAAGCTCACTGTTCGTGATCAGCAGAGTCGTGATCGTTGCCAGATCACCAATGAACTTCAGCTCTGGCAGGCTCTTACACGTCGGAGCTTAGCCTGTGACCTTATGGGTGCCATCAGCTTCCAGGTGCAAGAATCTTGGCACCGCTTTCTGTTCGATCGCATGGCTCAGCCTCCCCCTCCGAGGTGCAGCAAAGTTTCCATGGAGCAATTGTTGAGGGCTGATCGTCAGGCTTGGGTTCAGTTGGCTGAGACGGTTAAGACGCTTAAGAGGGATAGTGCCGGCGTGTTGCCTCTTGATGCTGCCTTCCCGGGTCTTCGCACTGACCCTGCTGTCCTGTTCAACCTCCTTCCTTTGAGGTCGCCTGATCCTCCTCAGAAGATCCCGAATCCGGATAGGGGCAATGGTAAGGGCCTTGATAAAGGTATCAAGAGGGACTCTGAAGGCCAGCCTCGAAAAGAGTCCCAGCTTCCTGATGCCCTCAAGAACATTCCAAACCTTAAGAAGAAGACCTCGAAAGGCAAGCGACTTTGTTGGGCATACAACATCAAAGACAGGGGGTGCAGCCATGCTGAGGCTGGCAAAGCTTGTCGCTTCGGTCTTCACTTGTGCATGCGCTGCGAGAAGCCTCACCCCCAGTTCGAATGCCCTGCAGCTTCTGCTTCTTGACTCTCGCGCGAGTCCGGGGAGACCTGCACTGACGAGGCACCTCAGGTACCGGCTCCTTGTGCAAGCTCCCCTATCCCCATTTTAGATGACATTTTTCCTTTGCTGCCTGACAAGGTTGATGCTTCTGCCGAGGTTAAACATCCGGCCGAGGAATTTTCGCTGGGTGTATTGACATCTGGCACCGCTCCTTCGCGCAAGGACGTTTTGCATCTTTCCACACTTCTTCCCTTCGATGCTCCTCAGCCTTCTCGGGATTTAGGTAGTGCCGGTCAATCGTGGACCACGGGTCTGTACACCAAAGGTGGTATCACGGCCCTTCGATCTAATGTGAAATCCTTTCCATTTTCGTCTTCTCTGCTTTTTGCTTTCATCAGAGCCATCAGTCCTTCCTTCGAGTGCACCAGTGCTGCTCTCTTTGTCGACTCGCAGACAGCTCTGCATCGCGACAGCTACAATGCGCACCTACCCAATCTGTTGATTGGGGTCAACTCCTTCTCAGGTGGCCAACTTTGGCTCGAGGGAGAGGGACCTCATCCAATGACCGATCCTTCAGGTGCCCAGCTTCATGGACAGCTGCACGAAGTCTCCCTCAGTCATCTCACTTTCGAGGCTTGGAAAAACAGACACTGCACAATGCCTTTTTTGGGGTCTCGAGTAGTGGTAGTCGGGTTTTCGGTTGCTAGACACGAGTCGATGCCTCTGGCTTGTCGCAGTGCTCTTGTATCCTTGGGTGTGCCCTTGCCTTCCATTGAGTGTGGTACTGATGGTGCTCCTGTGCTGGAGCCTCTCCCGCCAACTGTGCAACCCTTCTTGGACAGAGTTAAACTGCGTATCTCTGGTCGTCCCTCGAGTGACATAGCATTCCTTGAAATCTTTGCCAGGCATGGTGGTGTGTGTGCGGCTGTGCGCAGCCTCGGCATGCAAGGTTTTGCAATCAATCGTCATCCCCGAAACACTCGGGCTCCTGTCGTTCCGCTGGACCTTTCCACTGACAGCGGCATTTCGCTTTTGCGAGACATCCTTTCGAAGGATAATGTTGTTGCTGTGCACATGTCACCTCCTTCCAACTTCAGTGACCTTGCAGTAAGCATTTACACGGAGTGTTGTGCCAATGGTCTTCTTTGCTGCCTCGACGCCCCGTGCAGCTCCAACCTTTGGAAACTTCGTGACCTCCGGGGTGCCTGTCCGCAAATCTCCACCCACTACAGTCCTTGCTTCGTGCACGACGGGCTGTGTCAGCATCGGCGCCTGATTCATAACTTCCCTGCACTGTCAAGCCTTAGCTTTCCGTGTGGAGGGGGATGCAAACCACCAAATCCGGCGTTGCCTTTGTCTTCGTCCCCTGGTCAGCTTTGTGCCATGGTAGCAAGGGCCTTTGCTGTTGAATTGCAACACCAGGGTGCTCAGTTTCCTGCAGCAGAACTTCAGGAGCTTGGGCTCCCGTTGGCACGAGCCGCTCAGGTTGCCTCCGGAAAGCAACCCAAAGGCAAACGTGTTCCGCCTTTGGTCTCTGAGTACAAGTCCATCATCACTGTCACTGGCCCCTCTTGTGCTATGCCCCCGAAGCAACTCTCAGAAGATTGGGCCATTCCTGATAAAGTCTTGTGCAAGCCCTCCTTAAAGCGGCTACCCAAGACCGCCAAGCTGATTCGCACTGTGCCGTCTGCTGGGGGTCCCTGCAGTGCTACTCGAGAACTTGGTTCTGATAGTTCGGGTTTAGCCCCTTCCTCCCCTGTGGACGACTCCTTAAAGCCTGGCGCCCTACTTGATGCCTGTTCGAAGCCTGGCGATGGCCACTCTCTTGCCGCAGTCCCGCATGAGGAGCGAACATATGGTATCGCGTGGACCCCAGAAGAGTTCGTCAAACAGGCTCGCGGAGCCCTACACCCCAAGCGTATCGAAAATGGTGTGCCAAAGATTTTAAAGGAGACCATTGTGCGATGCGCCCAGGAGTCACCTGCCGACCTTGCCAGGGAACGCACTGCTACGTTGAGGAGGTGGATGCTTACCTCCGAGGAGGCGGCATCCCGTGCAGATCCCTCCGACATGCCCGACCACTGCGCCGCAGTTCTTGGTAAGAAATCCATGAAAGTCTTCAAATCCCTCTTGACTGAGGCCGAGTACCCGGACACAACCTTGACCAAGGACATCTCAACTGGGTTTAACCTTCTAGGCCCCATACCCGCATCTGGAGTCCTTCCCTCTAAGGTTTCCGCTGCCTCGCTTACCGTTGAGGACGTTCGTGCAGCCACTCCCCTTGCCAGGAAGGCCATCCTGACCTCTACCAGAGAAGGTTTCGACCGCGAGGTGGCTGAAAGTGTTTACCAGCTTACGAAAGATGAGCTTGCGAAAGGGTGGCTTAAGGGACCTTTTAAGGAGTCGGACATCCCCCCGGATGCCATAGTCACTAGAAGGTTTGGGATAGTGCAATCCTCCACCGATGCCAAGCTAGGGTCAATCAAGAAGGTGAGACCAATAGATGATTACACGGAATTCCGTAGCCATTTTGGCTCAAGTTTCCTCAATCAGTGTGAATGAGGAAAACAAATTTTGTTGGGGCCTTTGAGGTTCAGGACCCTGCATTGAACCAGGGCCCCTCTCTCGACGTTGGGCTTAGCCCACCGTGCACGCCGCTGTCGCCGACAGCGGCAGATGGCAGCAGAGCTGAAAGATGGGCGAAGGTGATGAATCTGCCCCGTTCGACAGTCGGGCAGTGGCCTTTCATGCAGCTCATACTTGGAATGCTTATAAGAGATCGGTAGGCATCTTCCCGAGCCCTCCAGAACAAATGCATTCGCTCTTCAGGAGAAGCTGCCTCTTGCCTAGGCCGACAGGGCTCTTGCCCCCAGCGCCGGGTCCAGGGCCGATGGCCGCTTCTTCCAGCTCCGGCCCAGATCTTGGAGCTTCGCAGTCAGCATTCCTTGCAGCGGGACTGAAGCCATTGTCAGCCCGAGATGCTCACTTAAGGTCTAAGGCCCTGGATGCTAATAGGAAGTGTGCCTTGAAGAAGTGGGTTACGCTTGTTTCCTTGGATTTTAACGCCTGGGGTGTAGCCAAGCAAGCCATGGGGCCTTTCGATCCTAAATTTGCCACAGGAGGCTTGGTGGAAAGTGTGCAGGATTGTCTTGCAGACAAAGCCACAGCTACCTTGCACCAACGCGTGGGACCCATCTTCAGATACGTGCACTTCTGGAAGCTTCAGTTCGTAGTGTGCCTGCCTGTGAGAGAGCACCAGCTCTACGATTACTTCAAGGCAAATCCGAATGCGGCCCCGACTTCATTCAGGTCGCTGCTTATCGCTTTCAGCTTCGCCAAACATTTGCTAGGCTTGATCGTGTTGGACGAAGCCCTGAGCAGCGGGAGAATCGTAGGGCTTGCAAATGCTCATTACTCGACGAGGTGTGCAGTTAAGCGCAGGCCTGCTCTAACCGTGGAGCAAGTCAAGCGACTTGAAGCTCTCGTGCTCAGCCTCCTCCTAGCGCGGCCAATGGACCGAATCGCAGCTGGGTGTTTTCTGCTTATGATATATGGTCGCCTACGGTTTTCGGACATGCAACGCTCTTCAGGTTTCGCGATTGATTCAGCTTTGATTGATGGCGTGGAATCAGGGTACCTTGAAGGGCAAGCCGAGAGGACCAAGACATCGGTGTCGCTTGAAAGGAAGATCCGCTCTCTTCCCATCGCTGAAATGTGTAGGAGGTAGGCCTTGGATCAGAGCATGGCTTGAGCTTCGAGAGGCAGAGGGTCTCGATAGTTCGTATCCTACACTTCCGTGCCCCGCAACCGGAGGCGGGTGGACAAGACTTCCGCTTAAGGTCTCAAGTGGAGGCGCCTGGCTGAGAAGTTTGATTCCTGGCGCGAGTGCAGCATCTGGCGACGTCCAGATCGCGACCCACTCTTGTAAGAGTACACCGCTCTCCTGGATGGCGAAAAGAGGCGTGCCGGCCGGCCCTCGTCGCACTCTGGGTTACCACGTACCGCGTAAGGACAAGTCGTTGATCATTTATGCCAGGGATTCACCAGCGGCTCCATTGCGCGAGCTGGACCGGGTCATCGACGAGATTGCTGCCGGTAGATTCAAGCCGGATCTCACTCGAAGTGGGATGATAGCCAATCTTGTAGATCCACAGCTTCCACCTGAGCATGAGGAGGAGGCTGACGCCATATCATCGAGCTCTAGCGAGGCGTCCGATGATGAGGAAGAGGCTCCCGTGAGTGACGAGGAGCAGGCCTTGGAGCAGATTGCCGGTCAGTGGGGCCCCGAGCCCGGCGACGGGCCTTGGGCTCGTCACAAACAGACTAGGTTTTTGCACAAGGTGAGAGATGAGGCCGGGACCCACTTGAAGTGCGGTAGAGCGATCTCAGTGCGTTTTGAGATTTTAAGTGAGGCGCCAAGATTTATGTATCCTACGTGCGCCACCTGCTTTCCGAACTCCTGAGGTTCAAAAGCCGTGTCAGGAGTCAACGCCACGCGTAGGCGAAAATCGCGGGGTCTGAGAAAAGGCAACATGCAAATGTCACCTTGGTCGTGGATGATTAACCCGCGCGATCTCGTAGTGACTGCTTATGTCTTGGAAGTGCAGAACTACAAGTGCTGTTTGAGCGATGCTTGTCACGTGAATTGTGTGGTGCACTAGGGAGCTGCCGATGACAAAAGTGATTGCAAGGCGTGCTGGGCCCTAGACTGAGCTTGACAATCTAGAAAGAAAGAGCCATGTCGTTTGGAGAGAGTGCGGCTGTCTTCAAGGCGCGAGCCAAGGACATTGGAGTTTCAGATCAGAGCTTCGCGAAGCTTGAGGCGGAGGGGCTGACAACGATGGCAACTTTCGCCTTCTGTTGTCATTTCAACCCGTCTGCGACAGACGAGAAGCCTCTCACCGACCTGGTGACCAAGGTTCTCGGTGCTGCGCCTTCCCTTAAGGAGATGAGTTGCTTTCGGCGTCTGTTCGCCGAGGCATACGCAACTGTTGCATCCGACATACGAGCTCAAGTGGAAGCAACGGAGGATTCATCGATCAAGAAATTAGCTCCGGCCGACAGGGCTGAGCGTTTGCGGGAGCAACAGGCCAGGCTCAAAGGTCTTGACTTGAGGGGCAACATGGAGCCAGGCGATTCCTTGATAGATCGTGCTGTGGCGATCTACGAATCTGACAGACTCCAATATGTGGAGTGGCAGCATTCTGTCAGCAGGCAGCATGAGCTTCTTACCGGGCTCAAGAAGGATGCATCGCTTACTTTGGATTCTGCAGGCGGCCTGAAAATTGCCAGCAAGCCCAATGTAACTCCTTGCGATGTGTCAAATGACATGATGGTTCGCTACGCTTTAGTGCGAAGGGGCCTAGCGCCTAGCCTTTGAACAGGCGAGCATCATGGCATACCATTTGCACGATGAGTTGCTTGAAAAGTACATGTCGTTCAGGCTTACCGACCCTCCTCCGAATCATGCAAGGGTGAGCTTGAAACAGATTGAGCAAGCTGACCGACAATTTACCTTGTTGCTCGCGGAACACACTCGCAGCGGCATCAAGGTGAAGGCGGGAGGATCGCGGCCATGCGATGATGCATTCCGCAAAGTGTTCGAGAGCACTGAGTTCCTCTCGATGCTAACCCCGAGGCCTCTTGCAGCGGGATCAGGAGCTAGCCGTGACGCTTCCTCTGGTGATGAGCCCCCGATCAAGCGCCATAAGGGCAATGGCAAGGGCGTAGGTCGTGGGCGCGGGGGTAAGGGCGCCGGCAAAGGATCCACCAATGCCAGGGTCCCGGCAGAGCTCCTCGCACTCGGGTGCGTGGCCGCCATGCCTAAAGGACATGCCTTATGCTTCGATTACTCGCTAGGGAAATGCTCCCGAGCAGTGGCCAACCAAAGGTGTGAAAGGGGATTGCATTTGTGTGCAGTCAAAGGATGCCACAGAGGGCACCCAGCCAAGGAATGCCCTGCGAAAAAGGCGCCTTCGTCGTGACTAATGAGTCCGACGAGCGCGCGCGCCCCACCATCGCCATTGGCGCACGGTGGGAGCGATGTCACAGAGAGCCATGGCTCAACTGCCGGTGTGGAGCCAGCAGATGATCAATCGCTCAACGATTCTTCTTGTTTTCCCCCTGAGCCACCCTGTAAGGCGGCTAAATTAGACGATGCATATGCCTTTTGCGAATCTTTGGCAAGCCACTTTTTGCAATCTTCCGACTTCAGTGCGACTAACATAGCGTCCATTTTGGACGCATTTCCTTCGGAGGACCACACTCGGACTTGGCTGGAAGCCGATGGAGACTCTAAAGCCATTACGGTAGGTGCGTGCAACCGAGGCGGGGTCACGGCAGTTCGCAGCAACACACGCCGCATGCCGGCGGTGGCAAAGTATCTTGCAGCTTGTGTCAAGTTGGTTGCACCGAAATGCGAGTTCACATCCGTGTCTGTGCACCGGAACCTACAAGCCCCAATGCATCAGGACTCCTTCAACAGCAGCGTGCCTAACGTCATTGTCCCACTATCCTCCTTTGCTGGAGGACACATCTTCGTCGTGCATCCTGAGGGCCCAGACCAAACAACCTACGAAGATGTGCCGTGGACAGGTTTCAAACTCGATTGTGCTTCTCATGCTTGGGCGTTTGATGCTAAGCACTGCAAACACTTTACTTTGCCGTGGAAAGGCTCCAGATCCCTTCTCGTTGCCTTTACCGTGGGTCACCTCTCGGGTTTAGCTCCCGGTGACAGGGATTTCTTGACCTCCCTAGGGTTTAGGGTCCCCTGCCACGATGTGCAACAGGGCCCCACCAGGTTACGATTTGCGGTGTCCACAAGCGTCCACCGATTCGGCGCCACTGGCTCAGCCGAGTCCGGCCTTCGCCTTCTGCTGAGTTGCCCGCCGACGGGCCTTTGGTGATCGAGCTCTGCGCCGGGTCCGCCATTCTCAGTCAGACGGCCGCATGCCGCGGCTTTGCAATCATGCCAGTGGATCATGCACACAATCGCCACGCTCCCATGTGCAAGATCGTGAATCTCGACTTGACAAAAAGCCACTCCTGGGAGGTCCTCAAATTTGTAATCAAGTCCCGGCGGGTGGTGATGGTGTTTGCTGCTCCGCCTTGCGGCACCTGCAGTGCTGCTCGCAACTACCGCCCGGGACCCCCAGTGCTCCGCACCACTTCACATCCGTGGGGTGTCCCGTGGGCCTCTACCAGAGACTGTGTCAAGCTTAAAGCTGCCAATGCCATATACAAACACCTTTGTGCTTTTCTTGCAATGTGCGATCAGCACTCCGTGCCTTGGTGCGTGGAGAACCCTACCAACAGCATGTTCTGGGAACTGCCATGTCTCGCGTACCCTTTGGCTCATGGTTTCTTCGCACATTGTCAGGCATGCGCTTTCGGCAGCGAACGCGACAAGAAGACCTCCTTTTTGTGCAACAGCTCGTGTATCTCTCGCATGGCTCTCATGTGCCCAGGCTGCAAACAACATGCATCATGGGGCCAGACCTCTTCTGCCACCTTCGCCACGGCGGAGGAAGCAGCCTACCCACCGGCCATGTGTCAGGCCTTGTGTGACGTCTTTGAGTCTGAGGCTGCGCGCCTCAACTACACGTTGGGCTCGGCTCATCCAGTCCTGGCCCGAGCCCACAAGCAGCCTCGCGGGCGCCTACACCCGCAACTCCTGTCGGAACATAGTGCAATCCTCTCCCGTCTGCTGCCCCAGGCCCCGACCCTTAATTACAAGCGCTGCCTCAAGCATGATGTTCACGGCGTCCCGGCCGGCAGCAAACTCTTGCGTTCCGAGAATAGGGGAAGTAAAGGTGTCTTCTGTGTCTTTGGAGTCTTCAGGAGCCCAGAGTCTTTCGTCAGAGAGGCTAAGCTGCTGCACCACCCGTTTGATTCCCTGGCACAGCTACCAGACTACTTGATCAAATCCCTGTTTGAGCAGATAACAAAATCCCCTGCGGAGATCTGCAAGCTCAGACTTCTTCGTCTTCAAAGATGGAGAGCCAGAGCGACGGAGCTGGCGCCAGTCGAGCATGCACACCGTGCCAAGATGCAGCCTTCCGTGAGGGAAATCCTCGCCAACAAGCGTACGGCTCTCCTGGAGGAGATGGCGGCCGAAATTGATTGGCCGGACAAGGGTCTCTTCTCAGAAATGCGCCAGGGCTTCCGACTCGTTGGCTGCCTGAGCCCTTCTGGTGTGTTCAGGGAAGGAGGGTACCTCGCCTCCATCAGCGAATCGGAGTTGATGGAAAACGCTGATAGCATCAAAGATTCTCTCTTGTCACGTGTGTCATCTGACCCTCTTGACGAGAACGCTGACGAGCTGTACGATGTGACTCTTCAAGAGTCAACCCAGAAAAAGTGGCTAGAAGGGCCGATGTCTCCCGAAGACATTGGAAAGCGACTTGGGGCATGGATCCCAGTGCGCCGCTTCTGTGTTGTGCAAAAAGGACGCTTGAGACCGATCCACGACTTCAAGGAGAATCTTGTAAACCAAGCCTGCTCTACAAGCGAACGGATCGTGCTTCAGGCGATGGACCATCTTTTATGGTCTCTTTCTGTGTTGTGCCATTTCTACCGGAAGCGAGGAGCCGTCGATTTCACTTTGTCCTCTGGAGAGAGGTTGACGGGGCACGTCCACCCTGACTGGCAGAAATCGGGGGCGAGCATGCAAGTCGCCACCTTGGACTTGAAATCCGCATACAAACAGCTACCTTTGAGTCCCTGCGATTTCGACAAAAGTGTGGTGACCTTGAAGGATCCGAAAACGGGATCCATCTCTTGCTTTGTCATGCGCACGCTCCCATTCGGAGCGCTTGCATCAGTATACCACTTTCTGCGCGTCAGCTTGCTGTTGCATGCCCTCGGGTGCCACCTAGGAGCATGCTGGTCAGCATACTTCGACGATTTCCCCATGGCAACGCATTCGCTTGTGGCCACGTCAACTTCGGCTCTAGTTAAGGGGTTCCTTAAGTTAGCGGGGTTCGACTTTGCAGATGAGAAGTGCACGCCTTTCTCTGCCGATGTCGAAGTCTTGGGAGTTACTCTGGATGTATCCCAGAGCACGGAGGGACTTATCAATATCCGAAACAAGCCTTCCAGGTGCGAGGAGCTGAATGCTGTGATTGAGGAGGTTCTTAGGGATAAGTCCATAGTCCCCTGCCGGTTACCCTCCTTCATAGGCAAACTTCAGTTCGCTGACGGTCAAATCTGGGGCCGAGCTGGGCGCATGGCCTTGCGCGATCTAAGGACTTTAGGGTTCACTTCTAGGGTGCCGGTCTCCCTCGATGCCAGCGGGATCGATGCGCTCAAAATCCTCCAGCAGAGGTTGATGCATGGAAAGCCTCGCGTCATCCGGGCCGGATGGAAAGAGAAGCCGATACTGCTCTTCACTGACGGAGCCCTGGAGGACGACAACCCGGATCACGGACCGGCCACCGTGGGTGCGGTCATGTTTAAACCGGATGAGCCCAATGTTTATGCTTTCGGGTGCGAGGTGCCGACTGACGTGCTGTCTCATTGGAGATCCGACGGCAGGCATCATGTCATAGGCCTCGTAGAGCTTTACGGCGCCGTCCTGGCCCTTCGGCATTGGCGTAAACACTTAGACGGCAGACGTGTGATCCTGTTTATCGACAATTGGCCTGCACTTGATACCCTTGTCAAAGGTGATGCCAGTCTTGAGATGTGGCGGGAAATTCTTATGATTATTGAAAATCCCCAAGAAGCATCCCCGTGCTTCTTATGGATAGCACGTGTGCCTTCAGCCTCGAACATCGCAGACTCGCCGAGCCGCGGATCGCTGTCCGAGCTTAGCCATTGGCCTCTACTTGTTGAGGTACCCAAGTGCCCGCTGTCGAAAGTTGCTCTGAAGTCGATTGTGTCATCATGCTAAAGCAGACTGGGGGAATTATGACTTGAGGTGCACGGTCAAACCGAGCACGTCAGAACTGAGCTGTGGCTCTTGTGTTATGCTGGGCCGAGGGGCCCAGCAATGCAACTCATCCCCAGTTTGCCGATGTGTGCAAAACAGTCGAGCGAGCAGCTTCGCAGCAGTCACAATTTTGATATGTTTCGCAAATATGTTTGCGCGCCCATATATCATTTCGGGCAATACTGATTGATGAATCTTACTATTGTCTGATGTTCGACATTTCCTCGAAGGGGAATATACATGTCCCATTTAATACATTGAGTTTGTTTCTATGTTGTGATATTTTGAAACTCCGACGAACTTCATAACTCTTGCTAATCTCACAAACAGTGCTAGCGAGACGATCTGCCCTCACGGGGTGGACGTTGTGGTCGCTGCACTGTGCCTTCGCATCAGGTCGGCCCGGAAACTTGGCAAGCGCGAGCAACTTGTTCTTAGGACGATAGACCTTAGACAAGCCTATAAGCAACTTCCTTTAAGCACTGAAGCTTTGTATGATTCTTTCATAGCTGTGCTTAACCCTCACAGCATGGAAATTGAGATATACCAGACAGTTGTGCTGCCCTTCGGCAGCAAGCCGGCCGTTCAGGGATTCTACAGAACTGCCTTCGGCCTTTGGTGGATCGGAGTCCGGAGCCTGATCCTGCCATGGTCTCTGTATTTTGACGATTTTGTCTTACCCTGCTCGTCCGACGAGCAAAAACATCTTGACTTAGTCCAGTCAACATTTTTCAGGATCGTTGCCTGGGAAACGTCCTCCGAGAAAGACAGTGGTTTTGATGCAGTAGCCAAAGTCTTAGGAGTGCAAATATCCTTGGCTGATTCTAAGAATGGATTGATCTCAGTCCAGAACACCGAGGCCCGCAAACGCGAACTTTGCTCATCCATCGATGAGGTCCTGACCCGAGGCTTTGTTGGCCAAAATGAGCTTCTCTCCCTACGCGGGCGACTCCTGTTTGCCGAGAGTCAAATCTTTGGACGATCAGCTTCGCTTCACATGCGCAACCTTTCGCACTTCTGTCAAAAGCGCGGCAGACTTGTGGTTGGTGCTAGCTTAAGGGCCTCCTTGACTTTCTTGAGGGACCGTGTAGTTCTTGGCAAACCAAGGTGTGTAGACTCGAGTCTTCGACAAGTGTATCACGTGTACACTGACGCTTCCTACGACGATCAGGGGGGTGGCCTTGGTGGTTTGGTTTACGACTTTAAAGGTCTGTGCCTTGCCTGGTTTAGCGAAGTAGTCACCTCCAAGGACCTTGAGATCATCAACCCTGATGGTAAACTTACCTTGATCTACGAGCTAGAAACCCTTGCCGCGGTTTTGGGTGCCACCCTAATCCCTAACCTACGCCACTGCGACATTGTGCTCTTCGTTGACAACGAAGCTTCACTGGCGGCTCTCATCCGAGGACAGTCCGATTGCCTTTTCGTGCAGTCTCTTCTCTCCCGCCTCTTTCAGGCTGAAGAAGAGCGTGATCTTGCGATCTGGTTCGAGCGTGTTCGCAGTGAAAGCAATCCTGCAGATGCCCCTTCGCGGGGCGACCACAGTTTTCCCGCCTTTTCCAGGCGGCGCTTCAATGTGCAATCCTTGCTGACCGATCTTTGCGGTTCTCTTCAAGGGGGGGCCTCGCAAGGTACCGATCTGTCAGCTCCCACTGCGAGTTAAAATGAAGACTGTGTCCGAGTGTTGCCTGCCGCATTTGACTATCAATTCGCAAATATATTTGTGATTGTTTTTTCATATATCTCATTTATAAACAAGACGCAGAGAATAAGAAGAACTTCCTCCGAAGGAGGACGGATTTTTATTCTCAAGTCTTGTTTTTAGCAACTTGGTTTTTCCAACCTTGGTTGTTTTCCATCCTTTTTTCAGGCCGAACTTTCCCCAAGCTCTTTTTCCAGTCGCCTTTTCGGCTCCAGTTCGCTTTTCGCCCACCCTCCTCACCCTTTGGCTTTTCGCCTTTTTCCTTTTCCCAGTTTCACTCCTTGTTCTTTGTGGCCTAACCCTGCCGTTGGGCCTCGCAAGGTACCGATCTGTCAGCTCCCACTGCGAGTTAAAATGAAGACTGTGTCCGAGTGTTGCCTGCCGCATTTGACTATCAATTCGCAAATATATTTGTGATTGTTTTTTCATATATCTCATTTATAAACAAGACGCAGAGAATAAGGATTCTTCTGGCCAGTCGATGCTCAGCACCTATGGAGATGCCCTTGTTCAGGTCACCCCCTGGCATACCTTATCTACTTCGATGAGGGAGTCTTTGGGTGGTGAGTACGACTGGGCATCCTGGCTGCAGCATCCTCTGTCGGGGTATTCCCTGCACTTCTTCTTGAAGGCATTCGAGATGACCTCGTCGAGCTGGACAAGAAGCCGAAGGTTTACTCCAACGGCTATTCGTCACCATGGATGAACATGAAGCGTCATCCTGGTGGCCTTGCCAAGATGCTGGAGGACGTCACTATCGCCGCAGAGAATGAGTTCCGACCCTCTGTCGGCCACATTGGTTTCGATCGCCCTCGTGACACTGATCCTCGTGCAAAGATGCCAAAGACGGAGGATCCTGATTACTCTCGCAAGCTCGAGGCACACAAGGCTTTCCTCAGGGAAAGGTATGTGTACGACGAGGTCTTCAATGTGAGAGAGGATTTTCAGATGCTCGTCCGCGTCATCAATGAGGCTTACGGAGTGGACTTCTTCTCCTACATCCAGCGGCACGCCAGTGATCTTGAGGTTCGCCGGAAATACACGGTGCGAACCCCTGAGGGCTACAATCTCTACGACAGTACCCTCAAGCAGCCGTTCAACGGCAGCTACCTTCTGGCTGTTCTGGAGAAAGTCTTCGCTGAATCTGAGCACCGAGATTTCAAATCGGCTTTCGCACGCAAAGCCAAAGCGGACTTGGTGGCTTACGAGGACTTGAAGGCGAAGAAGGAGTCCGAGCTGAATGAGCTTCTCACCCGACCATATGAAGACATTATGATCGAGGAGTTCATCGAGCGACTCCCATGTCCACGGATCGAGGAGATCGATGAGCCTCCCGCGGCTACTCAGATGGACACCTCTGAGCCGTCGGCTGGATCCACGGACTTGCCACAGGGCAAGAAGGTAGATCCGGTTAAGGCCGAGCCGACCGGTGTGCCAATGGAGACTGAAGCTCCAGAAAGCTCTCCACAGGGAGAGGCGTCTGGAGCCACTGTCGAGCCAATGGAGACAGACGCTCCGGAAGGCTCTCCACATGGAGAGGAATCTGGGGTGGATGTCCCACCGGAGAAGACCGAAGCCACGGAAAGCTCTCAGGCATCCGAGGTTAAGGTTGAATCTGATGAGCACATGGGTCAAGAAGGAGGTAAGGCCGAGGACAGTGAGATGGCTGAGGAAAGCTCACCACAGGGTGAGGAATCCATGCCAGACATTTCTCCCGAGAAGGATGATGAAAGTGAACTTCACGATCAAGGCATTTGGGGGAAATGCAAGACTGTTCCGGACCCTGAGTACTACCAGGCCGCGAAGGATGCAGAGGACCAGAACGAGAACGCGTTCGAGGAGATGGGCAAGGCCAAGGAAAAGATTGAGCTCAAGGACACCGAAGAGTTCAAACGTTTCCTCTCGGAGCTCACTGAGATCGAACGACAAAGCCCTATGCGGCTGCTCACCAAGCAGCTAAATGGATACGGCTATTCAGGCTTGTATCATACAGGACTGCGTGATCCTGATTACGAGCCCGTTCTCGCTTTCAAGGTGCAGCATATGAGTTGGAGGGTAAATGTTCCGCCTCACAAGGGACAGAAATACACCCTCTCCATGGGGGACCTCTTCGATCAACTCAACAAGATGTCTCCCATCTACGAGCGCCGTCCCGACAAGCAGAATGTGGTCTTTCGTTCTGGAGACGTCCGCAGCACCTTGGATGACAAGCTCATGGGTAAGGCCTCTGACATCCGAGAATCAGCTCTGGAGGTTATGGAAGCACTTCTGGATAAGTTGAAGTCCCTCGATGCAAGCGGCAATCCGGCAACCCGAGAAGAACTCTTGAATGCTATGCTTCATTACTTCTTGAGCACCGGAGTTGATGAAGAGGAGATCGGGGACCTCTCTCTTGAGAAGATGCCGAATCCTTAGTTACATTCTTTGAACACTTGCAGAAGATATGGCTTTATCGTTTGAAGAAAAACAACATGACAAAATGGCTCAGAGAACTGAGTCCAATTTTGATTTGTTGTTTTAGGGCTTTTTCTTTACTACACTGCCTTTTATGAACCCTCATTCATACATGCTGTAAACAAGTTGAAGAACACATTCGTCCGTTGCAGCTTGACCTCTCGAAGGGGCAGGAAGCCCTTGAATCGGGCGAGAGTTTTATTTGAAATAGGGGGCGGGCCGGATGCTTGTGCCTCAGTATCTCGCTGAGAGGTCTTGATGAAGTGATTCTTCTGCTTGAGTGCGACTTGAGCTTTGAGCTTACAGTATCCTGCTCAACTTGCAGAGCGATCAGCAGTTGCCTACTTAGCTGGAGCTTTGTTGGTTTGCGGTGTGTGATTTTAGCACTGACCTGTGGTTCAGGAGCATGCAATCACCTGAAGTGACCGGAGAAGAAGCAGAGGCGCCGACGCCCTCGGATTCGTTTACATCCACTGAGAGCTTTGTGTTACGTCACATGCGTGGATTACAGATCCAGATATGTCGGCTGCATAGAATGCAGCTCATGCTTGCTGACCGCCTTTTCGATCGAGTGTCACGGTTGGAGTCTCAGCAGATGCTATTGTTTTGCTTTCTTCATTGGAAGTTTCGGGCTGGCCGCAATTCTGATCCGGAGCATGTTCCTCGAGGATTGCTGGAACCTCAGCTCCCGTAGTGAGACTTTGTATGCCATGATTTTTGCTCAGAGGAAGAGAAAGGCGGGCGAGGCAAACTTGCCCTGGGATACGCCTCCGGGATATATCTTCAGGATGCAGGTGGTCGTTAT